ACTTACCTGGATATGGTCCGCATGAACATTTGCCCCATCATGTTCTTAATCTTTAATTTGGTGCATATTCCTTGATATTCGAAGGATATCACAACCTGTTAGAAGGCTAATTTTGATTACGCCGTTGTGGCTTGTTCATTTCATGTGCACGTGCCGAGTCCGTGCAAATTAGCCAGGTGTGCGACACACAGTAGTCAGTCCATGTGCACGTGCCGGGTCCGTGCAATTAATCCACGCGTGCCAGAACCTAGACTTGCCCCGGGCGTGAGCTTAGTTTATTGATGACTATGGACATAGTCTTCATATTATTATTTTATTTATCTATCTTTTTTTTGTTTTATATTAAATTCATCTAGTACTTCTGTTCACACAATCTGTTATGAAACTACATCTTATATTTTTCCCCTCTCAGTTAGTTTCTCATTACTCTACACCAAACTATGGTGACTTTGATTTTATCCCTTCTTCTTACTGTTCAATTTACCAATATTTATCACTTACATTTTCCCCAGCAAATCCTTGTGTTTTAATGTCCCTATTGTGCAAATATAACCTTGTATATCATCACTGTTATTTCTAAATGTATTTTTGAAGTCTTCACACTTTCACTTCCAACCACCGATTGTCTGTCAGTATATCATACTTGGCTTGAAATGAACTTCGACGATGGGGGTTGATATTGTACATTACAGGCAGTCGGTGGGCATATTTGCAACAGCGATGTACTCAAAGAACACGCACACATTCCATAATTGTTTACCATGCTATCCTACAAATGATTATGTTACTCTGCTGTGGAGATATCCACCCAAGTCCAGGCCTTCATTGACTATCAGATCTGGGCCCACTTGCACAAAGCGATCTTAGAGCTAAGACTATTGTAAGCCTGTGCTTAAGTATGGGAGTTACGATCATCTTAGCGCTAAGATCGCTTTGTGCAAGTGGGCCCAGAACATAGTTCAACTAACTGTACGCAGTCTTAATGATAAGATAGACCTCATAGCTATTGAGTTTCAATACTATGATATGATCTGTATTGCAGAAACGTGGTTACGTGGTTGTAATAATTGGAAATGTTTATAGACAAAAGCAACTCATACTGGGATCTCATTTACAAATCTATAGGAAATGCCATAGACCTTAATATTGATACAATTATAACAGGATATTTTAACATTGATTTTCTTGGAGTAAATAAACAAAAATTTGAATATCTTTAATCGGCATATGGTCTAAAACAGATAATCTCTGACTCTTAGACAAATAGAATAACCTACCATTCTAGTACGCTACTTGATTTGATCTTTGTATCACGTTATAGTACTGTAACGACCTTCGGTGTGCTTGACCCTGTTTGTAGTGATCACGTAGGAATTAATATACCTGAACCAAAATGTTTTGTATATACCAGAAAAATATTTAATTATAATCTTATCGATGTCGATGGGTTATTAGTAGATCTCAATGTAATGACTGGAACGAGTTAGTAAATAGCAATTGCGTAGATGATGCAGTTACAGAATTCACTTCAATACTTTGTAAAAGCTACGACGTTTACGTCCCCAACACAATTATTACGGTAAGAAGTAAGGACATTCTGTGGATGAACAATGAGATCCGTCGTTTAATGCGTAAACGCAACCGTAAACCTAAAACTGCAAAAAGGGGAAACTATCCCTCAGATTGGAAAACCTTTAGACAATTACGAAATCTAGTTAGATTTGAAAAACAAAATTACTTCAAAACATTAGATGAAAAAATTAATAATTCCCCAGGTACTAAAACTTGGTGGAGTTTGGTGAAGCGCTTTCTAAATACAAAAATCCAAATACTCTCTTTCCAGCTGTTATATATAAAGATAAGGTTTATGATGATGATGTATGTAAAGCTAATATTTTAAACGAATTCTTCTCTGAACAATCGACACTCGAATTCCCGTCAAAAACATTGCCAGCTGTAAGTAGTGAGTGTTCTAACACATTGGACCATATTGTCCCCACCCCAGGGGAAATTCAAGATGTTTTACTTTCTGTTGATACCACCAAGGCATCCACCCCTGACGGTATAAATAACAAACTGCTAAAAGTATGTCCTTCTCATTATCGTTAATCTTTAACATGTCACTTAAATATTCTGTTTTTCCATCAAAATGGAAATGGGCATCTGTATTGCCAATTCACAAAAAGTAAATGTAAATGTATGCAGTAATTATAGACCAATCGCACTGACAAGTTGTTTGGCAAAAGTATTTGAAAAATGTATTCATAAACATGTGTTTAACTTCTTCAAAGACAACAGTATTCTGACAGTATGTGTGATTTTCAATTATAATAAAACATTTTTATACATTTATGTATTTGACGTGAGAGGGGTAGCGACACACATATATAAACATGCTGTATTTTATAATAATGATTGTACAATTTGGATTGCTTTAAACCTGTTTCATCAAACAAATATAGGATTTGATGTTGTCATATCGTGAATCAATTTATTTAATATTCACTTAATGACTTTGTTGTGTACTAGTCTTGTAAGCAAATTTTATTTCTTCCAAATGTTCTATTGCGAACACAAAGAGTCAGCGCTCATGATTGCCATATCTATTGCACGAATGAATGAACACATCATAATTAATAAACTTACCTGAGCTCACTGTGTGTTCTGAAGTCAAATCTCTGTAAGTCATCCTGCACGGCTTCGTTCACGTTTACCCTCAAATGTACGATAGAAAAATCTGCGATTCTGTGTGACTCAATGTTCGACTGCATATTTGTGACAGGTGTTCGTTTATTTATTAAAATTCCACTAATTCATAAATCACATTGAGTTGCTCGCCGCTTCTCCAGTTGCTCACACTCTCCACTGATGCTAACTGTCTTGGTTAACTGGAGTCCGCATATAACTAATTACAAACTCTGTTCTAATTATGCTAATCGAGGAAGTGCATTATACCAGATGACAAACTAAGTTGTCCTATCACACTAATCCTTGTTTACAATGAACGCATGTCAATTGACTTAACAAACATCCTTTTTTTATATACTTAAGTAGAAGTATCACGATGGACAGTGCATACAACTGTTTTTCAAACAATATCAAGCAATATTTTAGATTCAGAAACACCATACCATGACATAACAGAAACTTAATATTAAATTGTATATATTCATATTTGCCGCTATTCACGATAAATTTATTTTACCGTCACTGTTTAAAACTACTCTGAACTACTTGTATGTATAGATCATCTTATTTGTAAACTATTTCTTTATTATGTAAAATGCTGTCAACATGAATAAATGCCAATTATTTCATAACACTCCAATATAGTTGTCATAATGAACATTTTGCAAAATTTAACTGTAAAAATATAAACACGATAAAATAAGCAATGATCAGGTGAAATATTTACTTTGTGTTGCAAGTCAAAATAGTGTAAAGAGAAAATCGCACAATGACCAAGCAAGTGACTTATCAAAACTTCGACACCATTACCGATGCTACCCACAAAAATACCTACATTTCCTTATTATTTCCAAAACTGTTTTTCATTTCGTTGATCAATGTGTCCATACGCCCTTATACTATCAATAAAAGTGACAAACGCGCTTACGAATGGCGCAGCACAGGTCGCGAACTAGTCTAAGTTTCTGCTGTATCATCCGGGTACTCACGGGGAAAAACAATTATTACAAGCAACAACCAGTCCGGGGGAATTTCTTTAGATCAGTGCCCCTTTAAATATAGTCGCACAACAAGTTCAGTTATGGACTTTCAGACGGAGCATAAATTGGCCTCACAGTGTCACAAAATACAAAACCACGCACACACAGGCACACACAGGCACACACACGCGCACGCCCGCACGCATCCACACACCCACGCACCTACGCACTCACACACACACACACATACCTGTGATCACATGCTGAATGGCATGTTATTTACTCCGTGCAGTGTATACATAAATAGAGCTTTACAATACTTAGAATAAAGCAATAAATGAGCAAGCCTGGTTCCCTGGGTATGCTGCGCTGGCGCTACACTGGCCCAGGCAATGACTGCACAACGGCCGTCTGCACTAGGCGAACAAACATGGCGGACACGACATGTATTTACTATAGAAAAACGGTAGAACGGGTGGTTAATTTTTGTCTTGGTATTTTGATGAACGCTCTTGCAGTCTATATGTCACGACAATAACGTCCGTTGTTACTTTTAGTGAAGGAAAACATTATTTAAGCTGTTTCGAGACTCGAAAGTGGTCGTCACATCGGTGAAATGTAAACAATGACTCACACTCCATTTTCAACAGTGATATATGCGTTAATATTTCGTGTCAGCTTACTCTTGTCACGAAATCGTATACATAATACATGGAATTAAACGACCACGTCAATAAAATGCCATGAGCAGCTATATTTAAGCAAATTTGATGATAATTTTTAATTAATTTGGTACAGTGGTATACACATCCATGTGCAGTCATTGCCTGGGTCAGTGTAGCGCCAGTGCTGCATAACCAGGGAACTAGGCTGTAAATGAGCAACTGAATAAAACAACAAGTGGGATGTGCGCTCACAGGTTTTGCGTCTACAGTAAATAAAGCGACAAAAGCCTTTCATATCCAATAGAAACCTCTTCATAAAGCAGTGTCGATCGTACAATTACGACTATATTATGAGCATGTGTTTATGAATCAAGAGGCGTAAGACGCTCTTTGAAATCTTGGCAAAAAGACTTTCATTTGCTGAATTTAGAAATGTCTAACGTTATTATATGGTATTTAATACTATTTTAACATACACCATATTGTTAGATTATTCCAAGCGATACAAGGTCTAACTTGACTCTAATAATAATTTAACCGACGTATTTAATCAATAATGCCTAATTTAAAATGTGAATTATATTCCAAGCAACTAACAACATAGAATGCAATAGGACATAGAATTATAATTGAGGATCATACAAAATAAGAAGTGAACATATCTTACCCTGAAATAACTTGGAGAAGCATGTATTATTGGCCAGTCTTTATTCGGTGTATCTCAGCAGTGAGGTGTCCTGAATAAAGCGTTCTGTATAACATGTGTGAACTATATATAATATCGAATTTGTGTGTGCACAATGTATGTTTTGCCCACGTGGTGTATGCAACCTAAATACAAATGAACATAGGCGTCACGGACACGGTGATGAATACTAATTATTGCAACTCAATATTAATAACAGGTAGTATTCCCATCAAATTTAATATATTACCAGAACAGCGTTACAATTTCAGACGGAATGAATGTGTATGTGAAATTCTGTATATAGTCACACAGGATAATTTCATAGAAAATAAAACTTCGGTATCGGGACGTATAGTCCCAATTCAGTTAACAAAAATACCCCCCCTCCCCGTCTCTCCGCCGCCGCCCCACCCCACCCACACACACACACCCAACCCAAACACCGCCACCCCCACACCCACCCCGCCATTGCGTGGTTAGAAGGGACGTTGTCGCGTTGTCGCATTGTCGCCCTTCCAAAAACAAGCAAAAAGTGTCAAAATCCGACAATGCGATAATGTCCCTTCTAGTATTCCAAGCATTGTCTGATTTCTCTGGCAATGCCAGTCCAGAGACCTATTTCTACTGGGAGCTTATGGTTTGTTGTAATATACACCGTATTTTAGAACAGGATAGGCAATAGGTTTGGGCCAAAACAGGTAGCTGCTAAAAAAAGGTTGTTTAGATTTTTGTCTGAGGATGTTACTCATATTTAAGGCATCAATATTATATTTTGGAGACCAAAGGAGTTTAACTGAGTAGCTGTCATGAAATTGCTTTCTCTATATTTGCAGTGATTTGTCATCAACTTCGGCTATCTCACAGTTGTGCCCCCAAGTACACGACTCAAAGTTTGCCGTGAATCACATTTTCCGAATATGAACAATAAATTTACCGCAGGCGATTACGGACTGTCTGAGTTGAAATGTTTACTCCAGTGGCGTTCCGCAGTTCATTTCGGGGCATGGCTGCCGTCACAAAGTAATGACATCTTGCGGAGAGCAAGAGAAACCGGTCCTCTCGCTGAGTGGTGGAGCGTTCACGAACACCTCCATGTCGCTGGGTAGCTGAGCCATGAGTCTGATACCGATTCCATGCCCTGCAGACCACGCTTTGACTCACACCTAGGACGTTGGCAATGTGGCGTTGTGTTTTCCCAGTTTCAAGCACACTTCCGCATCTGGCTCATTCCTTGACTGCCAAACGACGTCGTTGATGTTGAGGGGGTATTTCTGTTTTCAGTGACTGCAATCAACGCTTGTCAGGCTTTCAAACAAAGGAGAGCAAGGTTCCAATGAAAAACAGTCACAACGGTTGCAACTGTGGTTATCATGCATCACGTGCAACATGTGAAAATGGTGTCCATCACAGCATGCCATTACCTTCTTAGTGTGGTATGTGGCTCCAGAGGGGTTCCATTATGGATGTGATCCTTAGCAAACCTTGAGTAGTATATCATCTGGCTTGTTTTCCCAGTACTCGTATTATACCCGTGATCATTACTTTCACTAAGTGACAAACGTCTATAAACGACGTCACTGTGGATTTTGCTTCCAACATCGGGCAGATATGCATTGAGATGATGTTCAGAAGTGTAAACCCCACTCACGTGTTCCCTCGTTTCAGTGATAGGATATGTAATGTAAGATGTTCTATTTCTTTACCCTATTATTACAATAATGTCCAAAATTGTAGGTACTAATCTCATTCATACCCCTTGCGAAAAGTCAAAATATAGAAACTAATGTGGTCGAGCAAACTGGAGTGTGTTCTGTTTATCTATGGAGCAGCATACAAAAGGGCTTTGTTTGTCAAACTGACATTCAACGTGACTTGAATATAGTCAAATCAATATTTCACATATGGCCCAGCGCACGTCCAATGTAGCACGTTTTGGTAAGGAGGATGGCACACGAAGAAGGATACAATGACGTAAGCCAGGTCTCAGTACTAAAAAGCACTAGCATACTGCATTTATGTGGTAGGAAAGTTTTAGAAGTAAACCATTTTGGGGGAACATTATCAGCACGAACCGAGATTTGTACACGCAATCATAGGCTTCTGGCAAGCTTTAAGGACTCCAACTCCCACTTTTGACGACTACGATATCCGGCACCACCTCGTCCTCCAATGAACACCCATTTGCTGGTTATTACCATAAAACCTAACTGTGTATATTCCATAACCAGATGGCAGGTTGTTTCTATGTGAGTGAGTGAGTTGGATTTAACGCCGCTTTTAACAGTATTCCAGTTACATCACGGCGTGGCAGCTTAATGTGGGAGGAAAGCCCGAAGTGATGCAGGTCCCAGGCGTTTACCGCTTTGGTGAAACCCACGAGCACGGGTATGGTGCTGACAAACCTAGAAACATAATCGGGGCGAACCGGGATTCGAACCCACAATCATAGGTTACTGGCGCGCCCATGCAAGAGACGCAACTCTGCACAGCGAATCGCGGTGCCTCAGACGACTGGGCCGCCCGTGCGCCCTCATTTGGAAGAAGTAACAAAGAATGCTTTGGTGAATTTCATACTCCATCGGACCACTTGTATGTCTCTGCCTCTGCAACAACTGACTCTTTCTGTACATAGGTTTATGTTTCTAGGTTTGTCAGTGCTCATGGGTTCACCGAAGTGGTAAACGTCTGAGACCTGCATCACTTCGGGCTTTCCTCCCACATTAAGCTGACACGCCGCGATATAACTGGAATAATGTTAAAAGCGGCGTTAAACCCAACTCACTCACTCACTCACTGTACATAGGTGAAGGTGACAGAGATGTGCCAGATCTTGTGCATCCTGATGTTGGTCTGTGTCACTGGGGGGTGGTTTGGGGAAGTTGGTGGCACTTGACCCGCCTACAGTCTGGGATAAAGGGGGTCCTCTGTGGGGAGGATGACAGAAGTAAGGTTCGTTGCTGTAGACCTTGTAGTTCTGTGTCCGGTGACAAGTTGGGTTAGGTTAGCTCCTTTGCTTTGCATCGAGAGGTTCGGGGCTCGTTCTTTTTCCACCAATTCAGATCACACTCATCTCAAGCTAACTTGTCTTCAAAGTAGAAATAAGAATAATGTAGATACTGATGCCTTGAGGAGTTTGTGCGTTCCAAAGTTTACTGCTAGAGCAGAGTCATTTATATCCATAATTAGTTCAGAATGATAAGTTTACAGTGATAGCAATATTTAAGTAACACATAAAATAGATCAGTTTTAAACAAATGGAATACACACATTACTACAGATATTAATTGTTTTAAATACATACATCAGTTTAAGTAACTGGAACATGGCTACATAGATTACATATTATTAAGTACTGCCAACATAAGTTGAATGTATGTAAATTTGACCTTATTTGAGGATGGCTACAGTATTCAGTAAACTGAATACCGTGCAGGTCATACAATGGCTTCTATCACCAAATATGTACACTTCCTGTATGCCTGCGACGCCTGTAAACATGACGTCTACCATCCACACGGCGAATGACTCGTCACACAACCAACTTGTCTCCATCACAGTTGTGGCCATACTCTGTGACCTTGACACCATTGACGTTGAAGCCGACGATGCAGGTCCATCAAAATGTCACCTCGAACTGGTCGTCTCGCGCGAATACCCTTAGCGCATCAACGTGGTGGTTCTTTCACGTACATGACGTAGCTGTGAATCTGTCCTGTGATATACTGGCCGACCAGATCTGGGAGGTCACGTGTTGGCCCGTGTGTCTGATAACGGTTCCACAGTCTTGTAATGGCGCTTGGTGCTACATGAAGAAACCTGACTACAGCTAAAGATGATTCTCCTATTTGCACTCGGCCGATGGTGTTGTTGCGTTGGGCTTCCGTCAGTCGTGGCACGTTTTAGCTGTTCACTTGCTGCAAGATTGGCATGCAAATGAGATAGCCATTTGATTACACCTTTGCGGGGAGTTGCCCTGTCACAACAGTGACATTGATTGTTGACTTGGGCGAGGTTGTGTAACATTTTAAACAAGCCTAAAATACTTATTCATGTCCCTTTGTGTGCAATGCATTAGCTCCTGTGAACTATGTTCACTTGGCCTTTTTGTAAATGGCCTGATTGCAGCACTAAAAAGTTATTACAGGTGTTGTTTTGCCATCTACAATTATGTTAGAAAACTGTACTTGTAATGAGTTGTGTTATTACATAAACAATATCCAGAGAAGTATTTGTTTTTAGTTTGGTTTGTTGTTTAACGCCGCACTCAGCAATATTCCGGCTATATGACGGCGGTCTGTAAATAATCGAGTCTGGACCAGACAATGCAGTGATTAATATCATGTGCATCGATCCACGCAATTGGGATCGATGACATGCATCAAACAAGTCAGCGAGCCTGACCACCCGATCCCGTTAGTCGCCTTTTACGACAAGCATAGACACCTTTTACGGCAAGTATGGGTTGCTGAAGACCTATTCTACCCCGAAATCTTCACGACTGTACTGAGAGGTATAGCACCAATCATCTAAAGATCTGAGCAGTAGACTGGAGTATGGAATGCTACAGCACTGGCATGATCAGTAAACAACAAGTCCAGAGTAGCTCCGAGACAGTGAGTTGAAGAGTGAATGAGTGGAGTCATTTTCCGCACATTAAAGAAATCTTCAAGTTTCAGTTTTTCACTCGGATAACAGTTGAAATCCCCAGTAACTAGGACATGTTCACATTCATGCTGCTTGGAGAGATCCTGAAGTTTCTGCATGAATTAGTACATGACACTTTTGGAGGAACATACACACAAGCAATGCAATGATTATCACGAGAATCGATCCACGCAAGTGGGATACGATGACATGCATCAACCAAGTCAGCGTACCTGACCACCCGATCCCGGTAGTCGCCTCTTACGTCAGGCGACGTCGCCTTTTACGGCAAGAATGACATTGGTTCGCTGAAGACCTATTCTAACCCGGATCTTCACGGGTCGTAAAAAAGTGACGATTGAGAAGGGCGACACGAAAATAATTATTGGAATCTATGTTTT